GTCGTTGATGATCTGGTACGCCGCCTCCTTGGGGATCGACTGCTCCGGCATCTTGAACCTGCAGCGTGACGACGGCACGCACAGGGGGGCCCGGGCCGGCGGATCAGTCCCGCTCCGGATATTCAGCTGAAAAAAACCAGAGAGGGACTCCGGCCGCAAATCAATCAAGCGGCCGGCGCGCCAATGAGGAGCAGGATATACCTCGGGAGCGCGGTGCGCACGTAGCGCGACGCGAAGGTGGAGCAGTGCAGATGGGACTCGGCGGCGTTCGTGTTCGCCGTGGACAGCGCCATTTCGTCCTCTCCCTTGGCCCTTGGGGCTCAACGGCGGCGGATCTCTGGCTTTGCCGTTGCCGGTAAAGAGCTAATTAAATTTGCCTTGTCTGAGATGAGAGGAGCAGATCAGAGGATGGGGCAGAGAAGTGGCGATGGTTTTTATAAGGAGCCCGTGGGGCATGGCCGCATGGCCGCGACGTGGTCGGGGCGGCATGGCTCTTGCCGAGACGAACGGGCGTGCGCCCCAGACGGGGCGCATGGCTTTCGGCACTGAACTCGGGTGCGTCTATCACGCCCCGATCTGCTTATCGCAATTCTTTGCACTACAAGTCTACCACTACAACAGTACAAGGCTACAACTATTCTAATGCCGTGTTTAGTTTGGGGAAGTTTGGAATTTGGGTCACTGTAACATTTTCATTTTTATTTGACAATTAGTGTTCAATCATGGACTAATTAGGCTCAAAACGTTTGTCTCGCAATTTCCAACCAAACTGCGCAATTAGTTTTTTTTTCGTCTACATTTAGGCCCCGTTTGGCAGGACTTCTCCAGCGGCTTCAGGAGCCGTTTTCTGCCAAACGGGGTAAAATGAAACGGCTCCACCGATGAAGCCCCTAAAAACGTGCTTCCACAGAGAGCTTTGGGGTGAAGGAGCCAAAAATAGTATTCTCCCGCTCCTCCTCCGACCCCTAAAACATGCTCTCACATTTTGCCAAACGGTTTACTAAAACCGCTTCAGCTTCACCGTGGAGCTGTTTGGAGTGAATTTCACTAGTGAAGTGAAGCCCTGCCAAACGGGGCCTTAATACTCCATGCATGTATCGCAAGATTCGATGTGATGGCTACTGTAGCACTTTTTGAAAATTTAGGGTGAGAACTAAACACGCGCTAACTTGAGTTGAAAATCATATGGACGGTTCATTTTGAAAACACTGTTCCTCGATGGTCCTAGGGGGTGTTTGGATCCCGGTGATTAAAAATTAGAAGGTGTCATGTGAGGATGTTCCTCGATGGTCTTAGGGGGGTGTTTGATCCGGTGATTAAAAATTAGAATGTGTCACGTGAGGGTGTCGCATGGGATGTTCAGATACTAATAAAAAATAAATTACAGAATCTATCAGTACTCCACGAGAATAATTTATTAAGTCTAATTAATCCGTATTAGCACCACATTGTCAAATCATGGACTAATTAGGCTTAAAAGATTCGTCTCGCAAATTAGTCGCAAACTGTGCAATTAGTTTCATAATTAATCTATATTTAATACTCTATGCATATGTCCAAACATCCGATGGGACAGCGACTAAAATTTAGGAGGAGGAACCAAACACCCTCTTACGAGAACCCATCTCTATCAGTCGCCTAATTAAAATCACACGACGTGTCAACCTAGTGTAATTTAGCATAGTTAACTCAGGTCTTAATCTTAAACTGCATACGAAAGCAACACATATTTGGGCTCATATATATACTAGCTTCCTATATCTTATTTTTGCAGGTACTAGCTCCTAATATTTGAAGCTTTAGAGCATTTTTTTCTTCTTCTGGCTTCAGACATCTTCTAATGAAGATGCATCAGACCATAGTTATTACAGAAAGATAGCACATGTCTCAATGTGAGCCTATATTAGCAAGCTAATTACAGTAATCACAAGCATTTCATCGAACATCTATGTGCATACTAGAAAATAAATCCATAGTATCAATTCTTCAAATAGAGTGTTGGCCAAACTTCACAGTAAGGAATGTACTTGTAAAGATGAGCTCACTAACACATCAATCCCTATCATCATGTCAAAGAACCTATGTACGCCTCATATGCCAACTCAACAATACGCCATGAACGAAATAGCACCAATAGCAAGCAAAAACGTGAGCAACCAACATGTATGGCAAGATAAATACCGAATCAAGTGTAAGACACCAAGATTTACGTGGAAGCAATCCACTAGGAGAATGAAGATACCAGATGCTCAAATCAGCGACAAATGGTGTCAATAGGAGCTGCAACATCACACTCAACAACGAACACATGCCGCTAAAGACCATTGTTCGCCTAAACGTCCGTTTAGCCCGTTTACACACCATTTAAACGCTACACGGTGGTACACTATTTCCGTTTAATCGGTTGTTTTGACCGTTTAAACGGCCGTTTTTCCAGTTTAAACACCTGTTTTGCCCGAATAATGGGCTAAACAGTAGGTGACCGACTGTTTACCGTTTAGCGTTTAGGATAACACTGCTAAAGACACACCAAAGAAAACACCAAACTGAAGAAAAAGAATCAATTCAAGATCTTTAAAGTGCAACTTAAGTAATCCTCCTTCCGTGGCTTGTTTCGTAATGTTTATATGACCCGAATCCAACATAGGGGAAAATAAACAACTCCATGTTTTGTTTGAAACTCTAACCACCAAACCAAGACTATTGGTGTAAGCATCCTCACTTCCACCTAAATAGATTTTGGGAATATGCTAGATACCAATAGCTAATAAAGAATCTAAATTAGGCGGCCATAGTATACACACAAATAGCACCGCCACACAAAAGTCCTTCAAAACAATGCCTCCAATAAGGATAGGACTATAGTTGCCACTGTCGCTTACTTGAAATAGAGCAAAGTTTTCACCTAGAGACCCAATGGAGGGGTAGAATGGGATGTAGTGGTGTTGTCTCCAAGGAGGATAACAACACCCAAAGATGTCAACACATCGTTGATGTTGAGGTTGGCACAAAGACTAGTGTAGCTTTCACCAGCGCACACCAAAGCACCACAACAAACCCATAAAGTCAGCGAAGCACATCACATATATACCACACCATCGTTGAACACTGGGGACATAGCACCCAAAGCTCGAAGATGCCTAGGAGCATGCATACCACACCATCACCGAACGGCGAGGCCTTGGGTGCCTAGCCATGTCGTGCATGACCGGTATCATTGAATTACACCTGTGACAAAGGACAACGACAATATAGAGACAAGCCCTACCGGGAACAAGCACATGATAGAATGTCCTGGTGACTACCCACGCAGAGGTAGGCCAGCCGCGCTGCCTCCATCGTGACCCATCTTGCAATTTGGTATTCCATCTATTCCAAATTATAAGAGAGTTTTGATTTTCTAGATATGTATAAATGCTATGCACTTAGATATACACTATATCTAGATACATAAATGTATCTAGAAAAAGCCAAAACGTTTTATAATTTAGAATGTAGGGAGTAGATGGCTATCCTTCTTACTATCAGATGCTAGTCATCTAAAATAGCTACTTTGATTTGAGGATCTGTTTGGTGCACCTTTGCTTTACTAGTAGAACAACTTTTCTTGACTTCGGTTTCTGGAGAAGCTCCTCTGGTGGAACAAATTTTGATAAAAAACTCATTGTGATAGATTAAAATAATAAAATGTTCATTAAACTCTTTTTAAAATGTTCATAAAACTCTTTTTCTTTTTGGCCTAGGCAGCCAGACTCTTTTTTTTATATTTTTTTTGAGAGGAGGCAGCCGGACTCAATTGACCGACGTGTAGCTCCACTAGTGTGATAACATGATTGATGAAAAAACAAACAAACTTTATGTTAAAAAAAAAAGAAAAATACTTTATTTATACCGTAACCCGGCCCAATGGGCTAGATTTTTTTTGATCTGAGGAAAACCCAATGGGCTAGATGCATTACCTTGCCTAGAATGGTCCGTACCTGGGCCAGGGAAGCCGGGCTGAAAGCTCAAGTGCATGTAACAGAATGATGGGCTTTATTGGCTGCTGGTTCTAGTCCGAATGGCTTTGACACTGACACTGGCCACTGCCAACGCATGAGTGGAGACTGGAGAAAGAGCAACCCCAGTCCCTACTAATCTACTACCCTAGCAAAGCCGGCACAGCGGCGGTCGGCGAGACACGTGCGAGCGGCGGCGTGAGGGAAGGCGGGCGGGATGAGAGGTATCTAAAAGCAGCAGTGGCAGATTTGCGACAGTGCGGTACCAATAAGCGGCTGCGGCAGCATAACCGGCACCAGGTCAAAGCGACGACTGAGCAGGTTTCTCCATTATCCCATTTGATAAGTTGTACTACCTTTTTAGTCTGATGCATAATTGCAGCTACGCTAGATGCACAACTGAGGCGACCCGCTGTTGTATTCGTACCAATGTATGCGCCGGCTCCCAGCTCTCTAATGGGTGAACCTGTTTTTGTTCTTGTCTCTTAGAATAGGATATCTTAGAATAGGATATGCTTTACTGAAGCACAGGAACTGGCTGTTGAGCCAATACAACTCACCTTATCCATAATTTCCACCCGTTGATTATTCATATGTAGTTTGGTGGAATACATTTGAAGGCCCAAAAAGCTGTTGTTGCCTCATAACCAAACTTCAGGCTAGTACGTTACTGGTATGTTTCCTCCTATTTTCTGTGTTCGATTATTGAATCCTTATGATTTTATCACTAAATTTGCTAGCTTTGATCCATATATCGGTATATGACGATTCATACATGTTTTTGAGCTATCATTGGTGCATCATCTATAACCAGGCTACTGTCATGGATTCGTTGTTTTTTTCTCTCACTTTGATTGTATTGTATTTATGTATAAATTTGGCTTTAATGAGGCTGTATCATGTAGGCTCTGTATGCATATCCTGAATTTCAGTGCTGCATACACTATCTACACGGCCCCTGCCACACTAGATAAACACAGACAAACACGCAAGCAGCAGGCCATGTCATCACCAGCAGCAAGGAGCATCACCTGCTACTCCAAAATTCCAGAGTTCTTGGTGGGCAATATCGGGCAGCCAATGCCAGCAGTGGGGCTTGGCACAGCGTCACACCCATTTGTGGCGGAGGACGTCAGGACCGCTGTGCTCACTGCGCTGGAGCTTGGCTACCGCCACATCGACACTGCGGCACTCTACGCCTCTGAGCGCGTTGTCGGCGAGGCCATGGCTGAGGCAGTGCGGCGCGGGGTTGTGGTGTCCAGGGAGGAGTTGTTTGTGACATCCAAGGTGTGGTGCACACAATGCCATCCTGAGCTTGTGCTCCCGTCCCTCAAGGAGAGCTTGATGTATGTTTCTTGAGCTTGATTCTGCTTCTCTCTTATTTTTAATCTAATAAGAAGCAGAGTCAAATGTTTGGTACTTAATCAATTTCTCACCTAGGTTAGAATGCAAGATTTTGGTGTTCTGAACCCGTATGCAATGGCTATCTAATTGCTTGCTGTGTTGTAGGCACGAAGGTAACAACTATTATTTTGAGTTGAAATCCAGAGTTCAAATATTGTGGAATTTGAAGCTGGAAAACAGTTCACAACTAGAATATGAAATTGACTGATTTGTGTCTGAATCAAGTTATTTGGGTTAACGGTTATTCACTTATTCAGTTATTCTGTAAGTCTTGAAGTTTTAAGTGCAAAAAACATGTTTGGAAACAAAATATCTCATATCAAACGTTACAGTTTACACAAAAAGCTAATATGCACAACTTCAATTGTTATTCCAATATTCCATAGATCTCAGGGCATAAAAGTTACTCAGAAATAATGTTATATTCAGACATGTAAATGGATTTAGCATTACAATTAAGTTCTTGTAGTTTAACTTTAACCAATTCTGCAGTTCCTGGCATTACCCTATACAATGATGGATTGATGTACTTTAGTGGTAAGGAATATACATATCACTTCATCTGTAGGAACCTTCAAATGGAATATGTTGATTTGTACCTGATTCATTGGCCCATGGCTATAAAGCCTAGCAAGCCTCATTTCCCAATGAAAAGGGAGGACATTGTGCCGATGGACCTTAGTGGTGTATGGCAGGCAATGGAGGAATGCCATCGACTTGGCCTTGCTAAAATGATTGGTGTTAGCAATTTCACAACAAAGAAATTGCAGGAGCTGCTTGCCATTGCAAAAATTCCCCCAGCTGTAAATCAGGTTTGTGCTGATCAACTGGATAATCCTAGTGGCAATAATCTGCTGGACTCGTGCTGTTAGCATTCACTCTTTTTTTAAGGAATGTTGTATCCATTTTTTTATCGCTACCAATCCACATGTTTTATACCTCATGTTAAAGAAAAAACAAATGATTTTACTATATTGAACTTGGAGTCAATTTGCATTTCTATACGGCTGTATATGTTATACCCTCAAGCCTACCATAGTACCATGTCACCTCAAATATCATATCATTGATATTCATGCATGTGATAACCTTTGCAGGTTGAATTGAATCCCACTTGGCAGCAGAAAAAACTAATTGAGTTCTGCAATGACAAGGGTATTCATGTGGCTGCTTATTCTCCCCTAGGAGGCCAAAGAATCTCTAAAATGAATCCAATACGACAATCTGACATTTTGGAAGAGATTGGAAAGGCTAGAGGGAAGTCAGCGGCCCAGGTATGAACTATATTCTCTCATTGCACATTACTCTTTTCATTAAAAATCACTTTTCTCAAGAAAATCAGATCATTGAAGGCTCTTGCATATGTATTGAACCGGTGTAAGCCTCGAAAAAAATGTATTGAACCGGTGTAGTACTTTTGATGACTTTATGAGGATTGTTCACTTTGTTTTGGTTAAATGAAATGTTTGTGTGGTTTGGCATGACACCTAATATGCTCAGCTTATTTGGGCAAAGAAAATTTTTACACAACAGCACAATAAAACAGTCTATTATAGATTTAACAAAAAGTAACAGAATTATGATTAGTACTGCCAATCTGTCGCATTCTTTTGGTAGGATTATGTGATTTTAGCAGCAGAACTGATTCCCCCTTTGCCCCCAGATTTCACTGAGGTGGATCTACGAGCAAGGTGCAAGCATGGTTGCAAAGAGCTTGAAAAGGGAGAGGCTTAAGGAGAACCTTGGAATCTTCGATTGGGAATTGAGTGACGAAGATCGGTTTAAGATTGGTCAGATAGCACAGCGCAAGTTGGTCACAGTACAGAATCTCCTGTGTCCTGAAGGTATCTCCTGTGTGGATATCTCGGATGTTGATGTTCTTGAAATATAGTTGTGATATCCATCTATTTGCAATGGGCAAAAAAAATTGGAGTACAGCATATTTGATACGTCAGAAGCAGGTAACCTATCTTTTGTTCATCAACAATAACAAAAGCCTTTTAATCCCAAGCAATTGGATAGGTTAATCTTTTGTTCCCATGACCTCTTTCTTTATGAAAGTTACCTGATTTTGCCCTGCATAATTTGTGAACGCTAGATAAAATACAACAGTTTATCCTAGCATATATACCATCCAAGATAATTTTTTAGATTGAAATATGTTTTAGAGATTACCATTGAATCGTAATGGGGTAGCATTTTTTTTTGTTGAACTCATAAGCATGCTCTTTTCCAGGATTCATGCCACCAATAAACAGTTCTTTTATTCGGTTCTAAATATGGTAGTGGCAGATGTTCTAGGATTCTGATGACTACCAACACGGCAACAGTTCTGCACTTAGATGTTCAGCTCATTAAACATCTTCGATGAAATTCCTTGGGTTACTTCACACAGGATTTTTCTATCAACGCCTTAATCCACTAATGCTGTTGCTGAAAACTATTAACTGATAAACCATGCTCTAAAGAGTAAAGAGAGCTGTAACTTTCTCCCAAGAGAGAGATGAAACTGTGCACTTTGTTTTGTGGTGCCCATTAATAAACTATGTTATATTTCTTCTATTATACCATTAAATTTATTTCCTCTTTTTTCTTTTTGGGTTCAGAACACAAATGTAGCAGGTATCAGTAAAAATTTACTGGTAATTCATGAGGAAGAGACGCGAACAGATCTCACCAGTTGACGCAAAAATTGGTTGTAATAGTGACGGAACAATCTTTAATGGGAGAGCTTGTGATGGTGGTGGTCATTGGTCAAACGAGTAAAGAGCATGCACCAATTTGGAGACGGCACTTTTGTTTCTAGATAGAGGTACCTTTGTACATGACTACATGTAGCACACGCAACTGTACGTTTTGATTTTTTTTAAGAACTAAAGCGGCCCTTTTATAGAAAAGAAAAACATAAAGCGGCTGATCAAACAAAACTTTAAAATGACAGTAAAAAATAGACAAAATTGTGCTCTGGGACACTGAACAAAGATGAAATTGGTCAGGTTAGATGCAAACGCCAAAGTTCGTTAGGTACTCCATTCCAAACTGTAATTTTGGAATTTTCAGATACATAGCAAAAGCCAAAACCATTTATAATTTGGGATGAGAAGAGTATTATTATAAACTCATGATCATTTATTGTAGGACACTGTATTGATTATTTTATTAATTTCTTGGATCTAAAGAGAACATGAATAACCATTTTTGTCCTTATCTACATGACTACATCTTCGCACTCTCTTTTTTGAACTTAACAGGGCAGGTGCTCTGCTATTTCATTATAGAAGAAAGTAGTTATAGTATTTACAGGAATTCACGTGGTACGTGAGCATGGAGGACAAAACTGATTGAACCAGGGCGAGTCGCCTGATCTTGTTTAGAGGCGTCCCCGCCAACTGGGTAATTTTACGCTGTCTCTATGCTTCATGTGGCAGGCGTCCAATATGAAGATGGAGGCCTAGATATTTTCCGGAAAATTGATCTTCTTTGGAACGCATGATTGAAAAAATGCAAGAATAAAAAAAACACAAGAACGAGATAGGAATCATATGCAAAATTGAGGAATAAAAAGTACAGAAATTTTATAGAAATAGGTGGTTGGATCAACTGCAAGAAAAACACAGGAAGCAAGAAACATATGGTTTCAGTGGATGTTTTTTTTTCTATGGTTTTCCTGTGAAATCAGGCACAAAGGAAAGTTTTCTGCGTTTTTCTTGTAGATGATTCCCGCGAACCAAAGTGCTACAGTACTGAATCCTAAAAATATGAATCCTACATTTTTCCTTTGTTTTTCCTGCAATCCAGAGAGGGTCTAATTGTTCTATCACTTGAATTTCATCATCGTCGCAGTTAATTCGATAGAGTTCTGACTTGGGAAATGGATGTTGCCAAAGGCATGTAAAATGCCCTACATCATCCTTTTTTTTAATTGCGCAAGAGCGCTACGTCATCCACTCATCCTCATATAGGCCTGTTCGGGGATTTGCGTCCGCCCTGATGGGGCTTAGCAGTCCAACACTGGTTTGTAGTGGATTACAAGGATAAACAGTTGTGGTGACAGTGGGTCGCCCGGTCACGCCATGTTTGCTCGAATCCTAATTGTTCCGTAGAGTTTTTGCACATATTAGCCTGCAACCAGGTTTGTGCAGTATAGTTTGCTCATGTTAATTTGTAACCATGTTTGTGTAGCACAGTCTGCTCATGTTTGGTTGTCTGCATAAACTTTATGCATGCTTGCACAACGCAGTCCTAATGCTGCATTAGCTGGAATGTCAGATTTGGTCATATTAGATAATATAGGTTTACACAAGTTTATACACACTAAAAAAAATAAAACATTCTCATCCTCGTACCTCTTCTGGGAACATGAGATCTCAATAGAATACGAAGGCGACTATATGTAACAAAATGTAAACAACTAACCAGAATTTTATCAAATACGTCTTGTTTGTGTAGAACAACCAAATACTAAAACATTGCCTATGTAAATGCTAGCTTATGTTATGTTGTATAAGGTTTAATATAGACGGACTAATGCAAGCAACCAATCGAATTCATAACTTCTAGCAAATAATCCCATCAGACACCATAAAAAGATTTGACGATATCATCAAGTTTCATTAGCTACACTAGAAACTTTTGCGCGCCTTGCGCGCCCTATCCACCAAACTATACAGTATTTTACTCCATGAGAGGTTGGTGGTAAATGAAATTGACCAATGGTATGAGCTGAGCTAATTGAAGAACATAAAGCTATTATCTAGCTACAATATCCAATTGACGAAATAGCAGGTTATATTGTATCGTTGGACCAAAAATAACACAGAGACCATCTATTTCAGTACATACCAAAAGTAACACTGAGACCATCTACATACGTAGTCTTGCAGCCATAGGGTTCTGTCCAACGACAGCCCATAGGATTCTGTTTCTGTCCAATGACATATTACATACACAATCAGAATTCATACGTAGCAAAGGTTCTGTCAGTTCTGAATACTAATCCAAAGTAACATCCTGTACTAAAGCAGATCTATGATACTAATAAGAAAGGAAGACATGATTAGTAGCCAAGAAATTTATAAAAGTATTCAGTCGACTATAACTGAAGCAGTTCTTTCCAACAGTATACAAGATGCGATTGCTACGAATATGAAGGCACGACCTTGGCTGACCTTGCTTGCTTGGTATGGTGGTCTTCGCTAATAACAAGTGAACTTTTGAGCATTGAAGGGCTATCAGAGAGAGCACTGTATGATGAGCAACGGATGACAGTCAATGGTAGCGAAGGGCTCATAGCATCTCATAAAATGTAGGAGGAAAAAACAAACATGTGAAACATAAATAATAATTAATACAAAGGGGAATGCATTGGTTTTCCATAGTCAACACGTATTATGGAAGGAAATAAGTAGATAATATTGTGGTGGTGAAGGCTACATTTTTCTTTGTAGCACTCCTCTATGTCCTGGTTGTAGAGCCACCAGGTGGGTTTATACTGGGTCAAGATCTGCAGCACGCTGCGATTAAGCTTGTAGATAAATATTACCACTATATTTCAGAACCTGAATAAGAATGACAAGTAGCAATGGGCATTCATGCTTTTCCTTTCCCCTCTCTCTGGACAGTAGCTGCTTACAGGTGTTTCCTGTATCTCATGTTATTCTATTTTGATGTGACATGTAAATTCAAGCAAATGCTAAGGGTAATACAGTAGGAGCGCTTGACAGAAATCAGCATCATAGAGACACTTAGGATTAACTAAGGAATCAGTCCTAAGGTACAAAAGAGAGGTATGTTTATCTAAAAACAGAAGTTGTTAAAGACCAAACCTTTTAAATTTTGGCAAATAGAAACATCATGTGTCAGACGCATTTCATCGAACATATACTGCCGTTCCTGCCATGGGGGCTTCAACTGCATTTGGCAACAGAAAATGACTATGCAGACTACTGAAAGTTACCTCCCAAGCAGACAGGCAAAGGGACGTCGTGCTTGGAGCTGGAGTGACACTGCTTGGCTTTGAGGTTGATGCCGACCATCCCCTACGGGCTGAAGCGCTGGAGGACTGCCCCATCATGTCGCGGATCTGGATCCACAGAACCCTCACCAGCGAGTGCATAGCCGTGGAGCATGAGCTCACTCTGTAGATGCAGAGCAGGTGCAGCTCTAGATTTCGACCTCCAACGACGCATTGCCATCGCCGCCCCGCCCCCCCAAGATCTATGCCTGCGTGGGAGGGGCCCCTTTGCACCATGAGTAGAAGCACCGGATGGGGTGGAGAGGGGCAACAGGAAGGGTACCTGGAGCTCGGCCGCCTGAGACAACAGCTGAAGGCGGCTCGCCGTAGATCTGACACGCTTGGAGGACCCGTCGCCCGCGTCGCACAAGATTGCCTCTGCCTACAGGAAGGCCTGCTCGTGGATGGCCAAAGGATACACTGCGAAGGCCGACGAGGTCCAAAGCGACGACGGCGGCGCTCGAGCAGCACGTGAGCCAAGCAGGAGAGGTGCGGCATTGCGAAGATAATGGGGAAGGGTAGGGCTGGGGCCGCCGAGGGGTTCTCCGCAAAACTTCCTACGGGCGTTTTTTGCAAAAATAATGAGAACCTCATTTTCCTTCTTCACATTGAAATAAATTTTAATATAGGGGTCTACACGAGAATTAACTGAACGTGTATACTGCACATCGGAAGAATAATGAATCGCGGGTTGATTTCCAAGAACGAGGGTTTTTCTAAAAAAGTGCCAAAAGCGTGTCGGCATGCGGAGGCTAGGCCGGACGCGTTTGATTGTTTCTGTGGCTTATAAGTCGGCTGATGCTGTTTTGTTGTGAGAGAAAAATATTATATCATGGCTAATAAGTATGACTGATACGATCGAGCGAACATAATGTGAGTAGTGGTCTTTAAGGAACCTGATTGGTGTATGGAGTGAGTTAAAACTCGTTTAGAACTACTCCTGGAGTTCAGAATAAATTTAGCAATCTAGAAATCAAAAACTAAAAATTTGAAATCTAGATAACACCGCAGACTGTTAGCATATATCTTACTTTCACCTGACGCCGACACCTAGTCCACTAGTCCAGCACAAAGGCAAATAGCGGTTGACCATGTAAACGACCATGAGTCACTTGGGTCCATTGGCTACTCCAGCAACAGCATATGAGACAATGGGTCTGTTCGCTGGTTGGTTTCTGAGCTGATAAGCTCGGCTGGTGTTGGTTTGATTGTGAGAGAAAAATACTATTGGCTGGCTGATAAGTTCTGACTGAAACCAACGAGCGAACAGACTGAATGACGACAGCATAGTCAAAATGGCCAACTCAAAACAACGCAGCCCGCTGAAGTCATCGTGCCGAGCTGGAAAAGTCAAGCAATTTTGACTTCTTGCAAAGGTTTAAAGCCCAAAGCTTCCAGGCTACAAACACTCTTAAAAAAAAACTAACACCACTCTAAAGAGGTTGTAGACGTTATTGTTGCTGAGCTATGTCAAACCCCACAACATAGCAGCTCCAATTCCACCAAAACACTCTTCCAAGCAAGCCAACCGTCCTCGCACAGTGTGAAGCAACACCAAAAGGCATAGCCACGTCGAAAATCGGTAAGAGGGCAAGCAGTGACCGATGAACATGACCTCTGAAACGACACCTTAAGGAAGGGAGCAGGGGCCATGGCCCCCTAACACCATGCAATAAATAGTACTACAAACATGCGAGGCCACACTCGAAACCTCACCACCCCGTTGTCGGACCTCCTTGACACACAAGTGATCCACCAGGCCCTGATCTCTTTAACTACTTCACGATTAACATGTGGGACATGTCCTTGGCACCACCATCCGGCCAGCGAGTTCACCAGGATCGACCCATGTTTAGCCGCCCCTACTCAAAACTTTCAGTTCTGCCACTGAGCATCGGAAAGCGCCACCGTCGCTCGTCTAAAGAATCTGAATATGGCTTTCACCCGAAAATCCTACAAAGTGGAATGGAAGGCACCACAATGACACCCTTAATAGGGAAAGTGGCATCCGTGAACGTTGCTGTCATTGTCTCCAGTCGCAACAGCCAAGCTTGCGCTCTGAGCAGTGGCGAAGCTAGGTTATTGGTAGGGGGTGCAAATGCACCCCCCAAATTTTGTAAAAACAGTGGTTTTGTCTAGATTTTCATCATATATGCATCCCTAATAGTAAAAGTCTATGCACCCACAAGACAAGTGCACCACTCTCTAGTTTACTTTAGCTTCGCCACTCGCTCTGAGCCATCCATCTACAGTCATCGCGTCAAAGTGCCGCACGCCAGAGGACGTCAACCATGACGCCCTGCATGAGCGTAGCCGCTACAACGCGACGCCGGCGCCAAAACCGCCACCCTCACGATGCTGCCGTTGCCGATGCCGTTGTTGTCCAAACGCATAGCCAAGGTCGTTGGGCGTTGGTCGTTGGGCGTTGGCTACTCCACTTAGGGATGAAAGCGGGAACGGGAAATTCCCGTACCGACCGACACCGAACATCGGAATTCCCGACCGGATATCATTTTCTCGGGAAAAAACGGATTCGGGAAGAAATCCGGGAAAATTCGGCGAATCCGAGATCGAAATCGGTTAGAGTGATTTCCCGACCGAATTAGCGGATCCCGTATTTGGTCGGGAAAACTCCCGCGGGAATTTCCCGTTTTTAATGCCGCAGACGACTCGCAGGAGTCGCGGCGAGGAAATTAACATCGGCGGCGGCGCCTCACGCCTCGCTACTCGCGTCGGCGTCGCTTCCAGTTCCCCGTGAGCGATCCCGATCAGCGATTCAGTCATTCAGAAGCGGAGCGGACTGCGGACAAAGCGGACATCGAGGCGAGCTGCAAATCGTTGTTGCGCTTGCCGTCGCCCCGCGTCCGGCCGGTGGCCGCCAATAGCGAGCACCAAGCAGCCGAGCCCGAGCGACCACTGATTCGCTGCGACTCTGTGAGCAAGCAAATCTGCAGGCGCAAGCGCAACTGTGCAAGGTGCAGGCAGCCGCAAAGTAAGTATAAACTATATGATACGATTTCTAATTTTTTTAATTGCTAATTGCCTAATTTGCAATGATCATTTGTCATCCGTGCAAATTTTTATTTCTATGCTCATTGTTTGTTATTGTTTGCATATGGATTATACATGGTTGCTATTGTTGCATCGAGCTCACTATTTCAAGTGGTTACATATATCGATGTTTTCCGTTTTGTGTTACCGCTTCCCGATCGTAATCGACACGTTCCCGTTCAAAATATTCCATTCCCGATATCCCGTAATATCGGATTCGTTTTCCCGTCCGGCCTTCCCGTTTCCGTTTCCGACCAAAAAATACAGGAGCGAAAATGGTTAAGACATTTTTTCGACCGTCCCGACCGTTTTCATCCATAACTCCACAGTCGCGTTGGTCGTTGGGCGTTGGCTACTCCAGCAGCATGTCATTGTCAGGGCGGTCGTCCACGCGCCCAGCGTGTGGTTTTATTTATCACCGCTGCTGCTGCCGAGTGCCGACAAGGAGTCAAGGAACTTGGAGCCTTGGACTTGCACTCGATCAGCTCCAACAGCCATGCGGAACAGTGGCGGGAAGAGGTGGCTGCTGCTGCTGCTGCTGCCGCTGTCGCAGTGGGTCCTCATCCTTGGAAGCCTCCAGCTCCCGGCGGCCGGCGGCAGCGGCCACGTCGTCACGCGCATGCGCGGGTTCGACGGGCCACTCCCGTTCTACCTCGAAACCGGGTAGGTGCCTGCCGCAGAGATCCCTGCAAACCGCGCAAGTTTTTCTTCTCACCGCCGGTGCGGGGGCGGGCTGGCGGCTGCGTATTGCTATGCAGGTACGTGGAGGTGGACGAGCAGCACGGCGTGCAGCTCTTCTACTACTTCGTGCGCTCGGAGAACGACCCCGATGAGGACCCGTTGCTGCTGTGGCTGTCCGGCGGCCCAGGCTGCTCCGGCATCTCTGGCCTTGCCTACGAGATAGGACCCTTACAATTTGATGCCCAGGGCTACAGAGGTGGATTCCCCACTCTGCTCTACCGACCTGAGACATGGACCAAGGTGCGTCCCTTCAGTTCGCCACAATAATGCCATTTCACGGAGCATATGCTCCTCTGAATCTTGGTTTCTTGGTTTGTGAACAATATAGTTGTGTGGTTTCGCAGGTGAGCAACATCATATTTGTGGATTCGCCTGTGGGGACTGGGTTCTCGTACGCCAAGACCAAGGAAGGGCTTCAGACCGGTGACACCAAAGCAGTGAAGCAGCTAGTCATTTTTCTCAGAAAGGTTAGAGCTGCGTTCTGCACAAATGAAAACACGCAACCTTCTGTATGTTCTGCTCTAAAGAGAATTGTTGTGTGCAGTGGCTCCAAGACCATCCCCGGTTCCTGTCGAACCCTCTTTATATTGCTGGAGATTCATACAGTGGTCTCATCATTCCTACTCTTACATTAGAAATTGATAGAAGTAAGCTTCCCTCTGTACATCAGGGATTTTTATTTTACTTGGGTGCACATTTGATCTACAATGAGTGAATGGACAATACATTGAAGGCACACTATGGCCATTATTACTCTATGATAGAGTACCGAATCCACTCGCGTCGTAAAAGATGATGTCTCTCAATCAAAACCACAATGTTTGATTTAATTAGACATACTACCACCTACCACCCATTTGATTTAGACTTGCCATTTGATTTTAGACTTACCATCTACCACTCAAAGTTTTGTGCTAATATAATATTATCCAGTGACGGTGATGGTAAAGAAGAATAGTCGTCCAGCTAGGCCCAGCCAGATAGAGATATATTTTGATGTCTACTAAACATCTGTAGCCATTTTATAAGTACACATGATGGAGCTGCTATTAACAGTAGATATGTTTACAACTTGCAGGCATAGAACTCGGTGAAAAGACACTTTGCAGTCTCAAGGTCTGCTGAAATGTCTCTTATTTAATTAAGATATTTGGCCCCGAAGGTTACCTAGATTAGTAACATTGTCCATTTATATACTTTTGAAACGGTCTTTATTTTTAGTGAAAAATAGGGATCTGTTTCTTTCCTTCTGCTTTTTGTTCGGGAATAAGCCCATTCAGACGACCATAAACATAAAACGAAGTGTACATTAACGGATCAAGATTTATAAATGAACATACCAGTTTCGTGCATGTTGTACTGTAGGAATGTATTTACTTAACATTTAATTTGGATTTTGATTATAAAAAATCAACTAATCTACAAGAATAAGGAATCTCAAAGAATCAATAAGATATAAATAAAGAAGGTTAATTGTCAAGGCTGGGTTGGTTATAGAACATATGAAGTTATGAACAATTCGCTCCTTTTTTTTCCCTTCGACTCAGGGGTACATTGCTGGCAACCCGTTGACTGACAAGCAGTTTGATACAGACGGCCAAATTCCATTTCTTCATGGCATGGGACTTGTATCAACTGAACTTTACGAGGTAATCATCCATCATCTCATGAAAGCTCACTTTCATACTATGGTCCTAGATTCTCTAAAGATAAACTTTAATCTAGCTTATTCTGAACAAGTAACCACGCAGTTAAAATGCATGATTTTGTTAAAACAAAATTACCCTTATCATATATGTTTCACACATTAAAAATACAAATAATTTTACCTGCAGAACACTAGGGAGAACTGTGGTGGAAAATATAGTCCTCCATTGAATGCGACATGCGCAGAGGCTGTCCAAGCTATCAACAATGTGAGTACTCCTTAGATAGTTGTGTTGACAACCTAAATTGTTTATTTTTTAAAGTTGTCAAAATATAGAACGGACTTCACCATTGCGTTTCTCTCGCTGAGACGGTCAAAAAACATATATGGAACGTCTAATTCGGAGTCCGGGTGAAAGAGTTATGTCCCAGGAAAGATGCTCCATTGTCGGGAGTTTCGATCCAAGTCGAGACTTCCGACTCTCGAAAGTTTCGACAGGTGTCGGGACTTACGGGAAGCCTGAAGGAACCCGCTTGGGTGTCTAGGGTTATCCCCAGGGGCGGATCTATAGGGGGGCTGGGGGGATCCAGCACCCCTATAGCTGGTGCATCAATGGAAATATGGGGAGGGGGAGGGAGAAGAAGAGGTGGAGGAAAGAAGAAAAATAGAGAGAGAGAGAGAAGAAGAAGAGACCAGCCCCCCTTCAATCATGTTCTGCATCTGCCACTGGTTATCCCGACGTCGGGAGTTTCGACAAAGGTCGAAAGTTTCGACTGTCGGGAGTTCCGACAGACCTAACAAAAAACCATGTTCGGATCTGGCCTTTTGGATTTTGATCCGAACTGTTCCAAACTCGTGGGAAACTTGGAAAATAAGGCTTGGAGATATTTCCTACTGGGATAAGACCACCCCCTCTATATATATGAGAGGATCATAGCCGATTGAGTTCCCATCTATCCAATCGTCAAATATATCAATCTACTACCTCTACTCCAACCCTTTTACCCTCTTCTCCAACCCCATGCTGTTCATCCCTTGATTCGACGACCAAGGATGGTGCATTAGGCTTGCCCGCCGACCTAGGGCAACCCGGCGACGTCCTTGCCCTGATGGGGACCCTCCCGGGCGAGAGCTTCGACGGTTTCTTTGCTAGTTTGCCTGAAAACTAGCCGGTTTTTCGTCACGTAAGCTCATTGATTATCCTTTGGTGGTTTGCTTGTAAACCTCTCCGTCCTTCACTGTGAAAAGAGTGAAATCCTCGCTGCGTTCTTCGGTCCGTAGCGGCCCGGGCATCCAAGGCCCTACTAGTGTGTGATTTGGATCACTTACGACGTCAATACACTTTTTGGCTACTCCACTAGGGAGGATTGGTTTGGCTATCTCTTATAGATAGTCTCTCTGACCTAGCCTTACTTCTCGCTGATCTATCTTCTCATGCTCGCCATTACCGTTGCATCTGGCCCAAAAGACCGATCGCATCTAGTTTTGACCCCTTGTGTCCTCGTTTGCTATTTTGCAATGTGTTGCACTTGCTATTGAAAAATTCAGGAAGGCGGTCAAGTTCTAAATCATGGAGTACCAAGGTGTTGCATCACAATATTACTACAATCACTCTGAGGTGCAACTTGCAAATGCATCTTATGATCCCAATAGTTATTTTGCAAGTTTTATGAGCTCTCATGTTGGTGTTGCTAGCTATAATGATACTACATATCTTGCATCGGTTAATACTTTTGATAATGCTTTTGCATGGTTTACATCTTTGTCCCGATGTACTATTGGTTCATGGTCTCAATTAGAGGATCAATTCTATGAATACTTTGGAAAGACTAATGAGAAAAGGCCGATCGCAGTTGAGTCATCGGCTAAAAGAGGATTGCTAGTGGGCATAAAAGAAAGAATCGATTCGGATGTAAGCAAGGGTTCGACTACAAAAGCTAAACAACACAATATCCCTTTCGAATCAATCACATCTCGGGAAACAAGTCTTGCTATAGAAAAGCATGAGAAACGTAAGAAAATAGCTAGACTTGATTTTTTAGGAGCTAAAGGGGTTGTACACTTATCTAGTGATTACCGCATCATTGATGGAGATCAAGCCCCTACAAGCAAAAGGGGAGGGCTGCCTGCCTGCTCAGAATCGGCTGAGCCAACTTTAAAGTCGGCTGAGCCGATTGCTTCCCACTGTGAGTCAGCCAGGTTGACTGCCTCTGCCGCCTACCTTGAGTCAGCTAAGCTGACTTCCCAGTTGGCCAGGCCGACTGCCCCTGCCGCTTTGATTGCTAGCGCCCAAGTCGGCCTAGCCGACTTCCTCTGTTTCTACAGTTGTTGAGGTGCTTCCGGGTGATTTGACCTCTCTTATTGATTGGTTTCTGGAGGTGAAGAGCAACGTCATTAATGATATGCACTTCTCCAGACTGATCAACAAGGCACAAGGTACAAGTACTTTACCAAATTCCTAATCTGGTCATATTATTTCAATTGCTACATCTATTAGCGTTATTCTTGCTAGTAGTTTTAAAAGACCGATTGAGGAAGGTACTTTACTTGTTGATGATAAAATAAATTCAGATTATATCGGCCAACACATTGTTCCATATGGCAAGGCCGATAGTGGTAGTTCATCAAAGCTAAATTTTTTCAGAAGAAGCTGCAAAGGTGTGTCTGAATGGATTGATAATAAAACTGATCCATTCGTTTGCCTAGTTTTAAAGCCAACTCCACAAAAGAATCAGCTAAAGAAATCAAAGTACACCTTTGACTTTACTTTTTGTGATCATGCCTTTGATATCTTGCTTAAGAATAATTTTATTAGAATCATTGATCACAATGCTTTGCCATCTATTCAAAACTTAGAAGAGCTTACATATTGCAAATGGCATAACTCATCTGATCATAATACTTCTAATTGCAATATGTTTCATCGAGTGATCCAATCGGCCATTGATAAAGGACGATTGAGATTTTCTGAAGCTCAACAAATGGACCAATTGGATTTAGTTGGTCTTGATAGCAAATAGGTTTTGAATCGGCTTGAATTAGCCGATTCACTCAAAGCTCAAAGCTTGAACGCCCAAAAGAGAGATGTGGAGCCCTTAAGTGAAGACAAGGTTGTTGTTGATGAATTGCAAATAGAAGATATTTCAGAGGACAGCAAAGTTATCATAGTTCCAGAAGACACTGGGGGCAGCTGAAATCTTTCCAACCAAAGCAAAAGCCGATTGATCTCGTTGAGCAAGGGGAATCGGCTAAGGATCCTCCTTTGGAGCATGTCTGTCGAGATGGGGAGAAGGAGGATGCTTGTAAAGCTAATGGAGATAAAGGCCGTGACAAACAAAGAAGTAGAAGGCCAAAGCTTAGCTTCGAGGAACTTCTAGCTAAATATGAGAAGATAGGAGAAGCAAATATCACCAATCGGCCAAAGAAAGCCCAATCATCAAAATTGCCTCCAAAGCGTAAGTCTCAAGAGTGGAATCGGCAAGGAGATAGATCTCACGCAGCAGCAATATATTCTCATTTTGAGTAGCCAATTCCCATGTCGTGTGGATCACAACCCACATATTTTTATCCTTATTCATCTTGGGGCTGGTTTGATGAAGAGACACATGTTCCACCATATTTTAGGCCAAAATATATAGAGTATGCAGCTCCTAGACATTCAGAGAGATCATCATCTTGCAAAGACCGTTTTGATCAAAATCGGTCTGGAGCTCAACCAAAGAAGAAAGCCGTAAAGCAAGTTTATCGCGTGAAGTATGATGGCCGAAAGAAGAAGAGTTCAGATCTGAATTCAACTATTGAAAAGCCGATTACATTGCTGAAAAATCCGGCTATTGATGGCAAAGAAGTGGGGAAATTATCTATTGATATTCTAGGTGCCAAATCTGAACAAAAGAAAGTGGGAGTGCCCAAAATCAAGAGAGATTTGCCACTGTCCAAAACAAAAATAAAACCGATATGCTCAATCGGTTTACCAAAGTGGTAAGAAAATAAGCTACAAAAGCTTAGTGCAGAGAAGCTAAAAGAAAAAGGCTTGGCATGGGTTCCCAAAGCAAGTATTCAAGCTCAAAAGGATGATGTTCAAGCAAGTGGTGCAATGGAGGTAGGGAGAGAAGGAGATTCAAGAAACAATTGCCAAATTGGAGGTTTGCACCAAATCATCAAAATCATTGGTCATGACATCATCCATACTCTCTACCTATGCCTTTGTGGAATTCATCCCCTGGTATGCATGGTTATCCCTTAGTTCATTATTTTGATCATTGGTATGGATCTTTATGTTATGGAGGGTTATCAAATTATTTTGCTTACCGATGATCAAGAGCTGAAATATTTATTTCGGTTATGTATACTCTTGTGGATGAATTCATATGGCAGATATTTTGATATCGCTCTTAGCATAAAAACATAGCCGATGAATGCTTGCAACCATCGTGTTGTTAGAAGAGCCCCCATGTAATTTACTTTGATGGTTTTTAGGCCTGGGGGGCATGATATATGCATTTTGATTTACTTCATGGATGTGACAATATGATTAATCGGCTTGCAAATAAGGCCAAGGTGTTGGCATAATCATTATTTCTCACAATGGTGCTGTTTGAGATATCAAGCCGATTAAAATTATATTTGCACCAATATTTGAGCCGAATGTGAAGTTTTCTTATTCGGCTTGGCCATATTGCAATCCATGGAGTATGACATGTTGAAGCCTTTGGTGATTCTTTGCTAGTGGTGCAACAAGTTGCTGGTGAATTTCAATGTTTAGAGGGATCACTAAGAGCTTGTCTTAATCTTGCCTTGATATTATTGACTATTTTGCCTAATTCTGAATTCAGCATATTTCGAGGCATGAAAATCAAAAGGCCAACACGTTAACTCAACAAGTATCTGGCTATGACGTCGGTGGACATAATTTTCATATTCAAGAACAACCGATGCATGAAAATTTTAATTTTTCCCGTGTAGGTGCAGACCCAGTCGGCTCAGCCGACTCCCCCTCTGATCTGGCCAAGTTGGCTAGGCCGACTGCCCTAGTCGGCCAGGCCAACTCCATCAAGTCGGCTAAGCTGACTGCTCTAGTCGGCTCAGCCGACTCCCCTATGACCAGCTCAGTCAATTCACCCGAAAAGCTACCAAATCGGCTCGACGCAACTTCCAGTGATGTTGGGGCCTATTTAGAAGATTGGAGGACTCCCTTGTTGAGATATCTACATAATCCAAGTTGCAAAATTGATAAAAGTGTTCGGCGGAGCACTTTCAAATATGTGTTGCATAATGATGAGCTCTATCGGAGAACCGCTGAAGACTTGTTGCTTAAGTGCTTGGGATCAAATCAGGCAAGAGTGGCTATGGGAGAAGTCCATGAAGGCATTTGTGGTATGCATCAATCGGTCCCGAAGATGAAGTGGTTATTGCGTCGAGCTAGTTTCTATTGGCCTACTATGATGGCCGATTGTTTTTGTTACTACAAGGGTTGTGAAGAGTGCCAGAAGTTTAAAAATATTCAGCTTGTGCCTGCTGTTATGCTTCATCCTATCATCAAACCATGGACTTTTCGTGGGTGAGGGGCTAGACTTCATTAGCCAAATACATCCTCCATCTTCAAAGGGACACCGTTTTGTGTTTGTTGCTACGGATTACTTTGCAAAGTAGACCGAAGCAGTTCCTTTGAAGAATATGACACACAAGGAGGTGATTGAGTTTATCACTGAGAATATTGTCCATAGTTTTAGCATCCCTCAAACATTAACTATAGATCAAGGGACATCATTTGTGTCTAAGGAGGTGAGGAAATTTGCCGAATTATATAAGATTAAGTTGCTCAATTCATCTCCATACCATGATCAAGCTTATCAAAAAGAAGATTGAGGAAAATACAAGGAGGTGGCATGAAGTTTTGTCTGAAGCTCTATGGGCACATTGCATTTTAAGGCATGGTGCCACAAAAGTTACTCCTTTTGAGTTGGTATATGGTCAAGAGGTCGTGTTGCCCGTTGAAGTAAATTTAGATGCGTACGGACTTGCTAAACAAAATGATTTATCTACTATTATGTATCATGATTTAATGATGGATAATATCGATGAGGTGACTGATGTAAGACTAAAATCTCTCAAGGAAATAGAGAAAGACAAATCTCGAGTTGCCAAGGCATACAACAAGAAAGTCAAGAGTAAATCATTCCAAGTGGGAGAATTAGTGTGGAAAACCATACTACCAATTGGATCGGAGAGCAATCAGTTTGACAAGTGGTCACCAAATTGGGAGGGTCCTTACAAAGTGATCAAAGTCATATTCAAAAATTCTTATATGCTAAAGACATTGCAAGGTGAATGTCTCACAAGAGCAATCAACGGGAGGTATTTGAAAAAGTACTTTCCAAGTGTTTGGCAAGAAGCCTAAGTGCTCTCCAAGCAATGGACGATACATGTATCGCCCTTAGAACAAAAAATGGCCGATGTATACATCGCCCTTAGTTACTAAAGCCGATGAGATGGGTATCGTCGTTGTTTGGTTTTGTTTTGACAGGTGTTTTCAGGTTCATGCATCATTCACCTGAAAACAGGGGGCATATGTTGACAACCAAAATTGTCTATTTTTGTAAAGTTGTCAAAATGTGGAACGAACTTCACCATTGAGTTTCTCTCGCTGAGACGGTCAAAAAACATATATGAAACATCTAATTCAGAGTCCGGATGAAAGAGTTATGCCCCCCGGAAAGATGCTCCGTTGTCGGGAGTTTCGACCCAAGTCGGGACTTCCGACCATCGGAAGTTCCGACAGGTGTCGGGAGTTTCGGGAAGCCTGAAGGAACCTGCTCGGGTTTCTGGGGTTATCCCCACATCGGGAGTTCTGACAAAGGTAGGAAGTTTCGACTGTCGGGAGTTCCGACCCAAGTCGGGACTTTCGACAGACCTAACAAAAAACCCTGTTCGGATCTGGCCTTTTGGATTCCGATTCGAACTGTTCCAAACTCGTGGGAAACTTGAAAAATAAGGCTTGAAGAGGTTTTCTATTGGGATAAGATCACCCCTCTATATATATATATGAGAGGATCATGGCCGATTGAGTTCTCATCTATCCAATCGTCAATCAAATCAATCTACTACCTCTACTCCAACCCTTTTACCCTCTTCTCCAACCCCATGCTATTCATCCCTTGATTCGACGACCAAGGATGGCGCTCTAGGCTTGCCGGCCGACCTAGGGTAACCTGGCGACGTCCTTGCCCTGACGGGGTCCCTCCCGGGCGAGAGCTTCGACGGTTTCTTTGCTAGTTTGCCTGAAAACTAGCCGGTTCTTCGTCACGTAAGCACGTTGATTATTCTTGGATGATTTGCTTGTAAACCTCTCCGTTCTTCATCGCGAAAGAGTGACATCCTCGCTGCGTTCTTCGGTCCGTAGCGGCCCGGGCGTCCAAGGCCCTATTGGTGTGTGATTCGGATAACTTCCGACGTCAACAAGTTGATAGCACGTGTGTAACACAAAGCTCATTTATTTGGAAAATTAATCATGTGAAATGACATATTGGATATAATTCAAAAGCAGTCTTGTTATATATGATTTTAGTTATGCCTCCTGCAAACGTAGTATTACAAATAGTTATGTTGAAAATTACATGTCAGAGAGAAATTGATGTTAAAAATTACATGTTTTATTAACTATAGCCTGTGGTGGCCGGCTATGAAACAACCAAGCTTATGACACTAACTTCTCACATATTTTCGATTAATCAGACATTTTAGTAGCCTATGCATCAATTGGGGCCATATATTGTGCTTATGTATCCCTGTATAATGGCCGGGCATGTGGCTCCCATGATTTACTGGTTTACTGCCTAAATAATGAAAATGCAGTGCACACGGGATATCAATAAGCAATACATCCTTGATCCTGCTTGCCCGGACGATGATCTGTGGAGCCCCAAGACTGTAGCAGAGACAGATGGAATGAGTAGGGTGATGCTAGAGTCTGCACTGCTTGGTTCCAAATGTACAGTTGAGTTCCAAAGATCATATCCTTTAATTAATTCAATCCCCTTGTCCATTCATCATTAATAAGTCCTTGTCTGCTTATCTGACCCACACTTTCCTTTGGCCGCAGCAAGCTTTATACATTCTATCCTACACTTGGGGGAATGATGAAACAATTCAGGAGAGCCTTGGTGTCCGCAAGGTATTAGCAGTCTAGGGCGCACAGTATATACTTTTTTTTTGAGAAACAAAGGGCACATTTTGCATTTAGTTTGGTTTTGACATTGGACATCTCTACATTATTCCAGGGGACAATTGGAGCGTGGAAACGAGCTAACCATGAATTGCTTTACAATTATGAAATCCAGAGTGTAGTGGGGTACCATTCAAGGCTAGCCACAAAAGGATACAAGGCGCTGATATACATGTAATTAACCCAGGAAAGCAGTGCCTTAAATTGCAAATTGTAGATTACTACATAGTCATGGAGGTTTCAATATCTGCAATGTTTGTTGGGCTAGCTAAGAAGTGGAAATTGTTTCTATATCTATTGACTTGCTTATCAAAGTATTTGGAATTACTGTTTGTGTAATTAATTTATCATGCAGCGGCGATCACGATGCCGGCGTAACCGTTGTTGGCACACAAGCATGGATTAGGTACCTCAACTTGACCATCGTAGATGATTGGCGACCATGGTACGTTGGTGGGCAAGTTGCTGGGTAAGGAGCATGCTTACACAAGATACCTCATTCCAAAATGTCACTATACTTGATCTGTTGGTTCTTGGTTGACAGCACCCTCGACAATTAAGCTGTTATATTCCTGTTGAATGTTTTCCTGTCAAATATATTTTTCTTCTGAAATTCTGTTATATATATGTCAACGTTGCTATTAGTTTATGACTCTGAAAGTTGTGAATGGACCTGTTGAAAATCTGTTCTAAAGTACTACCACAATTTTCTCAAACAAATCTAACTGGTCGTGTAACTATCTTAAGCAAAAATTGTCCTACTTTCTAGCAGGTAGATATTTATACATTAAATACTGCCTCTACTTTTATATTCCTCTAACTAGTTCATTTGTTTCTTCCTAGATTCACAAGGAGTTACGCGAGCGGCCTAACATATGCAACTGTGAAGGTAGTTAAGTTCTATAGGAAAATGTTTTGTTTTTTTTCCAAAACACAATTAATTAAATTAGGATACGATCTACTCTGAAGTTTGTAGTTATATATGGATATGGACTAGTACATTTTATATCACAATCTTGAAATAATCTTGAGTGTACAACATTTTGCAGGGTGCTGGACATGTTGCACCAATGTATAAGACCTCGGAGTGCCAAAAAATGTTTATAAGATGGATTTCAGGCGATCCTCTTTGATATATGTCTAGTAGATGATCCATCACTTATTTGAGTGGGTGTCATGCTGTACCTCAAAAGTCAAAATAATGAATATTTTTCATGTCATGTAATAAATGACTTCCAAAGACAGCTGGTTGACTTCAAAGTACTTAAATTCCCCTGACTCCAAGAATCCCCTGTCCCTGTATCATTCTCAACCTACGTGGCCTGCGCGCCTGACGATGGGCTCCTCGCGTCGCTCCTCCCCTCGGCCGCCGCCGACGTCGCGGGGCTGGCTGCCTCTTTCTCTACCATCCCTCCCAGGCCGCGTCCAGGCTGAAGGTGGCCAAGCAGTTGGCGCTGCGCCTCCCCGGCGATGGTAGTCTGGTGCGGGCGCACTGTTTTTTTGTTTTTTAGCCTTTTTTTTGAAATTTTTTCACAAATATGCCTCTGGAGGTATGCTTTCAAAATCTGACCCTTAGCTCGGCGCCATCGTTGGTGGCGCTGAGCTTACATGTCTCGGTGCCATAGATTTTGGTGTCTAGGTCTTGGACTCGACGCAGACGTGGCGGTGACTTGGCAGGCACCTTGGCGCCGTAGATCTTGACGCCGAGCTTGGAGCTGTAGATCTTGACGCCGAGCTTGGCGCCGTGGTTATTGGCGCCAAGCCCTGTCTTACGTATGGTCCCTCCTTCCTTTCTCTCTTCCTCTCTCTCTACGGCTCCCGAGCTGCCAGCCACCATGGCCGCCGCCACAGCCAGCGCGCCCTTCTTGTCTGCAATGCCTTGCGCCGCTTGCTTGCCATGCTGCACCTCTCGCTGAAGCGCGCGCGCCCCCCACCCATCGCCGGCCCCACTATGCCGGCCGCCAAGCCGCCCTCCTGCCCACGCCGCCTCGTCTGTCGGCTCGCTTGCTACAAGATAGGCGCTCCCTTCGGCGACCCCGGCCATGACACGGCCCCTGCTCCCAGCGCGCCGCGACCTCGCCATCGATCCCATCCTCCGTGTCCCCATCCTGCTCCGGTCCCAGCGTTCGCATCCGCGTCGCATAGTTGCATTGACTTGGACAGGTAAATTTTTTGAATATGCAATGTAGGTACTTAGTTAGCTTGAATTGTAGTGCTACTTTGATTATTTGGTAGTTTCTAGTAAATTTGATGATGTAGGTAGTTGATTTAGTTAGTGAGATAGATATAGTTAGATAAATATAGTTAGATAGCTAATGACATAGGTACATAGATATAGTTATTAGATAGCTAGTTGATTTAGTTAGTGAGATAAATATAGTTAGATAGCTAGTGACATAGTTATTGAGGGTGTTGTTGGTTAGTATCTATTAGAGACGTACTATATAGCAGCTACTTTGGACTAAACGAACTATATTTCAATTTATGTTTGAACTACTAGATGGACAACCTAGTGAGCATATATCATGGAGGCACCGTGGAAAGAGATCCCTATGGATATATTGAGTTTGTTGAGATGCAAAGCGTGACTATGCCATTCAATGATAAGCCTTCATTTAGTGAGTTGGTTGCAAGGGCTCGGGAGGAGCTACATTGCCATGGAGCTGATGATGATGATGGCATCGTAGTGGAGGGTGTACTTCACCTAGGTTCCCCTCCCAACATTCTAAGGAAGATGATCCCAATTGGGGGTGCAGACTAGTGGGAGAACTATGTGAGATCGGCTATGAAGTGCTAGTTCCAAAGTTTGGATGTAGTTGTGCGTCGGGTGTTAGTTGATCCCATCCCTCATGGGTTTTCTCCACCAATGGATCAACAGGCACACTTCGACCCTCCCATCCCAAAACCTGATATGGATGTGGAGGTTGCACCTACGGTTTCTGATGCTCAATCTACCCCCAATAAGCTAGTTGGAGATGCTTGTCAGACTCATGATGTTGTGGCAGATCCTCCTCATGAGATCCCTTTGACATAGAATCATCCTAGTAAGTGTCTTATCCGCATGGTTATTGGGAGCTTACCCCCTTCCTTACATCCATTTTTTTCATTCTTTCCTCATTTTTCTACTTATGTTGTAGGAGAAATTCTTGACAATGTGGATGTGCCCACTGTTGCTGCGCAAGTGCACTGTGGAGATGGATTCCGTGGCTCCAATAGTGTTGAAATTATGAATGATTCTGATCCATATGAGATGGCAAGGGCTCTTGATTCTGATGATGATCATCCTGCTGGAGAGCTGACAGAGAGTGATGTTGAGATGCTGAGGCATATCTTTCATGGCCACCGTGATCCAAGAGTTCATGAGTTCAGTGATCTTGCTCATTCTGATTAGGTGTGTGTAGAAGGACGTGATGATGAGCTCCTAGAAGCTCCTAAGGCCAGCCCTAACATGGTAATTGAGAAGGGTAGGGTATTCAAGGACCTCCCTGCATTGAAGAGGTGGTTGCAGGCATTTGTAGTGATACGAAAGAGACCTTACAAGGTCTTGCATTCATATGCGGAGCGCCATTACATAGTTGTGTGTGACAAGGAACGCTGCCCATGGTGGGTTTGTGCAAGGAAGCAAAAGGTCACCGAAAAGTGGAAGATCACAAAGGTTGTCGGGCCACACAATTGTGTTGACCATGTGCTGACACTGAAGCATCGGCAGTTGACATCTACCCTCATTGCCAAGCGGTTGATCAGAATATTACAGGGAGAACCCAACATGAAGGTTAGGATAATTATCAGGACTGTTGAGGCGTTGTATGGAGGTTATGTGATAACTTATGGTAAAGCTTGGAGGGCTAAGCAGCGAGCATGGAAGATGATATATGGGGACTGGGAGGATGGGTATGAGCAGCTGCCAGTACTTTTCAATGCAATCAAAGTGGTGAATCCAGGCATGCATTATGAGTACATCCCAAAACCAAATACATAGAAGGATGGGAGGCAGATATTCTTCCATGCTTTCTGGTGCTTCCCTCAAAGTGTCGAGGCCTTTAGGCACTGTCGTCCCGTCTTCTCCATTGATGGTATGTTCTTTATTGGCAAATACTAGGGCACACTTTGTGGGGGTATTAACCCCTATACCCTTATGGCTAGGCTCGGGCCGGCCCGGACCAGGGGGTCTGGCCCACTAGAAGACGACGCGTGGCCCAGCCAATCTGTTTGGAGTCCCGCACAAGGAATCAAGGTAGATTTGGAGATCAAGCAAGATCCTGGTCGATTAGAATAGGAATCCTTATCCGGCCACCTATGGCAATTGTAACTTGTTAGGTTTAGTTTCTAGATCTGTAACCCTGCGCCCCAAACTATATAAGGCAGGCAGGGGACCCCTCTAAAAAACACATCTCATTGACATACATCAATACAATCAGACGCAGGACGTAGGTATTACGCCCTCACGGCGGCCGAACCTGGATAAAACCTCGTGTCTGTCTTGTGTCATCATCTTGTTCGTAGCTTGCGCACCTGTCTGCCGATAATCTACTACCTTGGGCATAACCCTAGGTAGACTGCCGACCATATTTCGTCGACAGTGGCGCGCCAGGTAGGGGGTGTGCGTACCGCTTCCTAGAAGAACAAGATGGTCATCATCCCCGGATCTATGGCTACGCCGAACGGCCTCATGTTCACCGTCGGCCAGATCACCTGGACCACAGGCTCCGACAACCTCATCGCCATGACCACAGAGGAGGCGCGGATCCGATCTGCGTCGACCACTGCTTCACCGGCATCGGCTACGACTTCGACCATGTTGGATCTGGCTCCGGCTGCACCAGCATCGTCTTCGGCCACGCCGACAACCCGTCGCTCGCTTCCTCGCTACAAGGGGAGGCAGATCGACAACACCGACTTGCTCAACTCTATCGATCGGGTCGGCGCCAAACTTGTCGAAACCCTAGCTCTAGTAAGTTCGATTCAAAGTCAACCTAATGAGCAGGTAACCACTACCCACAATAGATCTACCTGACCAGCTCGGGCCAGTTGTTCTGCATGACTCGGTATGGATCTCGTGGTCACATCTACTCCTGAAGGGCGCTCCATTCGTCGCCGGCCAGCCCTCGCGATGGGTCTCCGGCTCTCCGAATACGAAACCTCGATGGAGAATTACCAGGCTCAGCCCTACGGCCTGCGAAACACTGCTTCCAACTATGCGTGCAATATGCAATGATCTTGGCCAAGACCACGCAACTTTGTCAACATGGTCCGGATCGAGGAGTTCCAAGAAGGATCGGTCCACACAGTTCGAGAGGGTGGCTCAAGCTCCCCGTCCAGCACCGCATCTAATGGCTCCATCCACACCGAGCTCCAGCATCATGACGATGAAGGCGTTGAATACGATCTGGATATCCCAGACCACGCCCCTGGGTTCCCACAATTCCCATCCCTCCCACCAAGGCGAGGAGACTTGATCAACGTTGTCAGTAATGACGAACCACCGGCTGTCGACGAAACAGAACAAGAAAGGCTAGCACGCGAAGCACGCAATATTGACCAGTTTAATCGCTGACAAATCGAAGCCGAGGCTGAAGAGGAGGCACGACGCATAAGGGTCCAGCCATGCGACGTTAACAATGCCTTTGATAGGGTGGGGGACAAGCAGGTCTTCAGGACCCCAAGCACCAATGTAGCTGTTGCTATGGCGACGATGCAACAACTACCCAATACCCCGAAAACCCAGGCAGTTCGTGATGATATACAAGCTTACTTGACGGCTGCTATGGCCCAGACTGCAGAGATTGGAAATCAAGCTCGGGCTCCATCCGTCTCAGTCGAATCAAGCCACAGCCGCCAGTACTCAAGTCGCTCACGGCCACCCAACCAACGTGGCTCGCGCAACAACAACCCATTAGACAACCGTCAAGGCGGGAACGGTGGCCATGATGGTGGTCTGGACGACAATCGCCGTGGCTACCGAGACGACAACCGCCGAGACAACCGCGATAATCGCCGTGATAACCGCGGTCGCAGGGTTATCCAGGGTGGCAACCAGGATCACCGTGATGGCAATAACGATCTCTGCCATTACCTCAGAGAACACGATCTGCGTGATCGCATTAATCAAAGAGCCAACGATCGTGCATCCCAC